TAGCGGATCGATGGTGTTTTCACTATGTGAAAGAGGCGAACTACTTTATGTAAGAACCCCTGACGAGTATATAGGTTATTAATTATTTTTATTGGCAGCGGTTTTCCAGTTATAATTAAATTTCAACCTGCAACCTGCAACCTGCAAAATATACCTGCCGCTAATTCTCTGCTAAATGAAAGCGAAAACAGTTTACGTTTACGAGGCCGAAGAAAACAAAAACATTTAAATGAATTTTTTTTTTACTTAGCCTTAAAGTTTTTAGACAGTCTTGTCGAACTTGACAATGAAGAACAAATGAGTGAGCTCTCCTAATGCAGTATATAAGTATCGAGTTGAGTCTCAAAACAGACCAGATAGTATCTGGAATTTCCAAAGTTTGCAAAATTGTCAATGTTATTACTCTGAGGTCATGCTCAGTGATGCAAAAAGATGGCCAGAAATACTCCTAAAATAACTACAAGAAATAAACTGATTTTCAAGACACCACTCTGAAACTCCCGTTTCACCTGCTGGCCATATCTGCCTGTAATGATCTTCTTAGTAACTTCAGCTTTGATATTTTCATGTGGGAAGGCAACAGTGGGGACTTCACACTCCAAGAAATCACACATTGGCCTCCATCCTTGTTTTACGTCATACACCAGAAGCTTGTCAGCGGGAACAATAGACTTTACACGGTGGTTGTGGATACGATATCGCTTTCTTATAACATAGGTGGACTTGGTGTTAAAAGATCCAATGGTGGCATTGAAGAAGGAATCCAAAAAATACTCCATTTTCCTCGCCGTTGGCGATAACATGGATACAATCTTGGATCGTATAGCATACAATGAATCCAACTGACGAACAGCACTTTCTATCCACGAATCTTCCTCTCTCACGCTCAAAATCACTTTACAATCAGGAAAAGCTTCCAGTATTTCCTCGAAGAAGAAGTTTCCTGGCGTATCCACGCATACGTCGGCATTCTGGTAAACTCGCTTCACATCAGGTTTGGCGCCATTTTGGAAAACATTGACCCAGTGATCTAGGAAGTCAAGCGTTTGCTCTTCAAAGTCGAACACCGTAAATCCAAGGTGCCGCAGGGCTTTGGCGATTGACTTGGTACCCGTTTTTCCGGCTCCTGCACAGATGATCTTCATTACTAATGGTAGAAAGGTGACTGCTCTTCTGTTGCGTCCGTTTGCCGGTCGTTGTTTTTGTCTTAATCAAAACCGCTAGAGTCACGAACACATGCAGTTGGCGCACTCATCCATGTAAAGTCGTGGGTGGATCGTATTTACATTTCTGATTGCGTTCATCTACAGATGCTTATGTCATGGTCGACTGAGGACTGGATTTGTTAGTTTTCTGTCCCCTGTGTTGCAGTAGCATGCGACTTTCATGTTGTTTAACTGAACATAACGAGTTGAACTGTTCTCGTATCCCCCCTGATCAGTTCGGATCTCGATTAAAGTTGAAGTATCACAAGTGACTCTGCTAGGCCAATCATTGACCACCGTGTAGTTGAACTGCTGCGGTAGAATTTGTAGCTATTTTCCCACAAAAGAGACAGTTAGGTACAATGACTGTTTAGATCACCATTCCGGTGTTTAATTCAAACTTTCTCTAACATGTCCCGAAATCGATCAAACAACCCAGAATCTGGGGAGATCTGTAAATAATACCTCAGTAAGATATAACCTTTAAGGTAGTAAGAATCTTTAGCCGTTTTCCCTCTAAGTAGGAGGACTCAAGAGACAGACTTAAGGCGTGTTGAGCAAATTCGATTAGCAACGTGGGTCAGACGACCACCACCAATAGTATCGTGCTATAAACTGGTTATCAAGGTGACTGATTATCTGTACTGAACAGAATTCTCTGCTAATTCTCTGTTAACTGAAGGCGAAAACAGTTTAAGTTGCAGTTTGAAGCCGAAGGAAAACTAAAAGTTTCAAGTTCATACAAAAAAAGCGATCTTAAAAATTATCGATTTATTTAACTCTGAGCCTTAAAGTTTTTAGACAGTCTTCTTCACGAACTTGAAAATACCAAACAAAATTACTTACTTGGCCTCTCTCAATGTATGCAGTATATAACTATCGAGTTGAGTCTCAAAACAAACCAAAAAAAAGAAAATATAAGTATCAGCGGGATTGGAAAAGTTTCCAAAGATGTCACTGTTACTATTCTGAGGTTATGCTCAGTGATTAAAAAAGGTGGCAAGAAATACTCCTACAATTACTACAAGAAATAAACCGATTTTCAAAACACCATTACGAAATTCCCGATTCACCTGCTTGCCATACCTGGTCATCATGACCATATTAGTAATTTCAGCTTTGATATTTTCATGTGGGAAGGCAATGGTTGGGACCTTGCACTCCAAGAAATCACACAATGGCCTCCATCCTTGTTTCACGTTGTACACTAACAGCTTGTCAGCGGGAACAATGGACTTTACACGGTGGTTGTGGATACGATATCGCTTTCTTATAACATAGGTGGACTTCGTATCACAGGATCCAATGGCCGCATTATGGAACGGATCATAAACGTACTCCATTTTCCTCGCTGTTGGGGATAACATGGACACAACCTCGGATCGTAGAGCGTTCACTGAATCCAACTGACGCACCGCACTTTCTATCCACGAACCTTCCTCTCTCTCGCTCAAAATTACTTTGCAGTCAGGGAAAGTTTCCAGTATTTCCTCGAAGATGAAGTTTCCAGGAAAATCGATGCATGCATCAGCATTCTGGTAAACTCTCTTCACATCAGGTTTGGCGCCATTTTGAAAAACATCAACCCAGTGATCCAGGAAGTCAAACGTTTGCTCTTCCCAGTCAAACACCGTATATCCAAGGTGCCGCAAGGCTTTGGCGATTGATTTAGTACCCGTTTTTAGAAGTCCTGCACAGATGATCTTCATAGTTACGGCCTTCAGAAGTTTAATGCTCCTGATCTCTATTCTATCTGTTCAGTGTGAGTGATTTTTATTCTGGTGTAGCACAAGAATCGCATTGTATTGGATGTCAAAACAAGCCACCTGAATCGCACTGATCCATGGAAAATTATATTTGCATTTTAGCTCTCAGCATATGTCTGTAAATATGCACAGCTATTCTTCCTAATGCGTCCCGCTAAGGGAATCGCATACGGGTGACTAGTCATCTTCCTGTGGCTTTTATTCAAATCGTTGACCCCTTTTTAAAACCAAATCTTTCCATTTGGCTTCTCTGACTAAAGGCCTACTTGTCCGAGTTTCCCGTTTCATGCACTAATTTCTATGGTTGGCCATTCGTTTCAAAATTACGACAGGGTATACGCGGGTTTTTCTGTCGCGTATACTAGTTTACATACGTCACGTATGGGCTTTAAGCTCATATATACGACCATTTTATGCGTATATACGCATTTTTAAAGGGCCACACATTTGCGTAAATTCAAGCGCGGGGATATGCGAAATAAATACCCAAATATACGCGTCCTACAAGGACCCATATATACGCGTGCTAAAATGCGCGTATATGCGTGTCTCGTAAATTACGTTTTATATGCCAGCACGAAATGTGCCTTTTAAGAGAATGGCTGTTCATGTATGATAGAAATGAAAATTACTTTAACTAGGAATCGTCAATATGGCGGCAGTGGCAAAATGCCTTGTCTTGCTCTATCTGCTATTTAATGTTTGTTACTGCAGCTCTCCAGTGAATGAACTTCTA